TGGTAACAAACAATTGAACTAGTTTTATTCAACTCAAAAAACTACATTGATTGAAAGAATCGTTCATTCAAAGTAATCATTTACTTTGAATAGAACCAGTTAATTTACTTGTTACCACATGAAGTCATTTTTTTAGGTAGATCTGAGGAGCCACTTTTTACAGTGTTGCCAGCTAAGTGGATACATGTGAGTACCCACTAAATGCATTTCCTATATGTTTAATCCTAGCTTAAAAATTTAAGTCCACTTGTATTACATTATTGACAGTGAGTGTAGATACAAGGAGTTGCACTTAATGAAGTGGCTGATTAGTTTAGATATATACCCTATATAGACAAAAGTACTGGGACTCCTACACATTACACCTACAGGAGCTTTTATGACATCCCATTCTAAATCCATAAGCATTAATACGGAGTTGGTCCCCCTTTGCAGCTATAACAGCTTTCGCTCTTCTGGGAAGTTTTCTACAAGATTTTGGAGTGTGTCTGTGGGAATTTTCTGCCCATTCATCCAGAAGAGCATTTGTGAGGTCAGACACTGATGTTGGATGAGAGGGCCGGGCTCACATTCTAGTTTATCCCAAAGGTGTTCAATGGGGTTGAGGTCAGGGCTCTGTGTGGGCCAGTCAAGTTCTTCCACACCAACCTCACCCAGCCATGCCTTTATGGACCATGCTTTGTGCACTGGGTCATGCTGGAACAGAAAAGGGTCTTCCCTAAACTGTTCATAGTTGGGAGCATACAATTGTCCAAAATGTCTCGGTCTGCTGAAACAGTAAGATTTACCTTCACTGGAACTAATAGGCCCAGGCCAGGCCAACCCCTGAACAACAACCCCATAGCATTATCCCTCCTTTACCAAACTTTACACTTGGCACAATGCAATCAGGCAGGTAATGTTCCCCTGGCACTCACCAAACCCAGACTCATCCACCAGACTACCAGATAGAGAAACATGATTCATCACTCCACAGAACACATTTTCACTGCTTCAGAGTCCAGTGGCAGCATGCTTTGCACCACTCCCCCCCCGAAGCTTGCCATTGTGTTTGGTGATGTAAGTCCATGGAAACCCATGCCATGAAGCTCCCGGCACACAGTTTTAATTTTATATTAATCTTTAGAATTACCTATTCTTTCACAAATGTGTGTAAAGGCAGACTGCATGGCTAGGTGCATGATTTTATACACCTGTGGTAATGAAACTGAATGAAATGCCTGAATTCAGTGATTAAGAGGTGTGTCACAATATTTTTGTCCATACAGTGTATTTTCCTTGTCAGTCAAATGGCTCTTTCCTGTCAAAGTAGGTGTTTCTTGGCCATGTTAAGGCAGAAGTCTCACTTGCAAGTGTGAAGCCATGGATAACAGCTCAGATTTACCAAGAAACTTTTCAGCTAAAGACCAAGATAATCAATTCCCAAACATTTTGCATGAAAGCAGGAGAAAACTTTTTTATACTCCATGCAATGCTGTTCTGGACTACAAATAAAAGTCAATGATTCCAACATGACTCCAACTTCTCCACTACAAAACACACAAGATGGGTGACCAAAGTAAAGTTAAATAATCTCAGATTTATAATCTTCATAATTTCATAATATTCAAATTTCTGCATTGCAGCCACCACATCCCCCAACCCCACCTCCAATTTATTTATTTATTTATTTTTTTTAAATGGCACTGCAAAATCAAGTATTTAGTTCCACAAAAGTTAAAAATGGCAGTGAAAACCTGGTGGGTCTGAAGAGAATGCACATGACCCAACTTGAGTAAGGAGCTATGTCTGAACAGTTAAGGTTTGGGGGGGGAAGCATTTTACAGTTAAAGCTTTTCTTACAAAACTTTGTATGAATTCTTTTCATACAAAGTTTCTTTTCTAATCCTTTAAATTTAAGATATTAAACAGGCAAGTGTGAGGTACAAACTCCAAAGCATTATGTAATTGTTTTGGGCAAAATTATGTATAAGCTTGAGACAGTTTAACTAAATTACACCAAAAGGCTCAACAGGTTCTTCGTACTAACTTTTATTTTCTGTAAGTGTGGCGCAAACTCTTAAAGTACTACAGAAATACTTTGGGCATTAAACATACCTGTTTAAAAAAGCTAACTAAAATACATTATAATGACTGATAGGTTTTAGCTATTAAACTGATGAAAGACATAGTAAAATTTCTCACAACTATTTAAAGTTACAAGGTAGTAAGTATGAACATTCATGTACCTACTTACCTGATTAATATACCTACTTATGAGACTGTAAGAAACAGTGTTACTTTCCTTTAATTGTCAGAATTTGGTCAGGTTTATACAAATCCCATTTCCAGAAAAGTTGGAACATTTCATAAAATGCAATAAAATCTAGAAATCTGTGACTTGTTCATTCTCTTAAACATGACAAAAGTATGAAGAAATGACTTTCAATGTTTCAGCTGAACAGCTTGATTGTATTTTGAAAATATGAACATATTTCAAATTTGATGCCTGGAACACACTCAAAGCAAAATAAGAGTGAAAAGTTTATAGAATATTAAAGTTACACCATTTTGAAACATCCCACTATAAGCATGTGAATTGGGAACAGGTGAAGGTATCAAGATTCTCTCGAAATAGGGTTTGTATATTGGCTGGTAGAATACACCGATGACAAAATTCTCATGTATGGCCTAACCTGTGAAACACTAAACCACTTTTGACACATCTGCCCCAGATGTTTCAGTTTTTTGGGTCAGTCAGCCACAATGCCCCAAAATAAACAGTTCTGTAGTATCAGCAACTTCCACCACATGAAGAGCAGTGAACACTAAGCCTAAGAACAGTTTTCATTTTCAGATATATATTTTCTTCATTCAGACGATGTTCTAAAAGATGTCTTATTTTCTGTCTTTCTTTTTCTGTGTCCATGTATAAGATTGCTTACAGGCTATTTCATATATTCTTATTCTTTAAATGAAAGGCTCAAGTGTTATCTGTTCACATCACACAGATTTCCTGAGTACAGATTAAGATTTCAACCAGATTTTAAGATTAGATTAGATTGGGTAATGGATTGCAATTTAAATGGTGAATTTTCTTATTTATTTATTTTTTACTTTTATTGTTACTTCTCATTCCAGCACAAATTATAATAAATCTTAGAACAAGTTGGAATTGTGCAGTGCTTATCACTGCTGTCAGAGGAAAACCTCGTATCTCAGAAATAATAACTTTACAGGAGAAGGAATAAACATACTTTACTTTTAATGTAAGTCAATGGAACCAGACTTTTTTCCAAGACATTTTGGGACATTTCTTTTGGTCCATTCATCATGAAATTTACACACAATATAAAGGGCAACAGGCATTTTCAGGTTGTGTCAAAAACTGATAAACAACAAAAATGGAGATACGAGATTTTCTTCTGACAGCAGCGTTATATTTTACCAAATGTTCATCTTTTATTGTTGAAAAAATCAGATTTTTCAGTAAATAACACAAGAAAACCATCTTTTTAAACATACAGTACTGGGCAAAAGTCAGAGACTATGGATTTGATTTACTGAATTTCCAGTCAAATTGTTATTCATCTTAAATGTAATGGAAAACTACACAGAGGTCTCAACAAATAAATATATTCTGTATGCATTTTGTCCACTCTTTACCTTTATTGCAGCTTTTATTCTTTTCAGGAAACTCAGTTTCAGTTTTTCAAAGAAAACTGCAGCCACACCTCCAAAGTTCAGTCTTAGAAGTTAGTTGAATTTTCTGCTTCCCACAATCCAAGTTATCCCAAATACTCCACACCTCTGATATCAAGTTTTGATTTCTTTGTGCAGAGTTTATTCTTTTGTTGCCTCCTTTTCTCAGTGAGGTTTCTTGACAGCTACACATCCTTTCAGACCCATAGCACTGAGTTGTCTTCTCACAGTGGAAGGATGGATAGAAACACCTGTGGATGTTTTTTAGATCTGAAAGCAGCTTGATTTTCTCCTCTCTCTCAAAGATGAAAGCCTTAAGTGCTGTTTTTCTGATGGGGGGGGGGCAGTTTTGGTGTTTACCAGGTCTTCCAGGTGGTTGTTAGGAGCCCCATTTTCTCTGGAGCTTTATAATCACTTTTTTAAACTCCAGTTTTGGAAACTCACTTGTTTTCCTTTGATGTTCTACTTCCTTATGCATGTGGATTATTTTAGAAATCTTACCCAATGTCCTGAGGCATATCGTTTTAGCCAATTTAGCTGCAAATTTGGGAGAATTTTGAAGGCAGCTTATGTGAATTTGGGTAGTTGTTATTGTGAGTGTAAGTGTCTCTTTGAAGGGGATCACTATGCCAGGAAAACCTCTGGGAGCAACTTTTGTTGGGAGCCCACACCTGAAACTAATTAGTTTTAAGATGTCAAAGTAGCAACAGAGTGCAAATTTTAAAGACTGATACATTTGATACTATAAAATTACATTTAGTTGTTGAGGCTTTTGTGTCATTTTGTATTAAATATTTGTTTACTGCTTTTTTTCTGACAAAAAAGTGAATAACTTGTAATAAATGAGAAATGGGTAACATTTAACATATCATGGCAGGTGCTGTCAGTAGTTGTCATTTTTTTTAGTAACATAACAGTGTTTTGTAACCATTACAGTTAATTATCATGACAGATGTTATAATGTTTTATGTTTTGACAGCTTATGCCACATCCTAATTTTTGTTTTGTTAGCAATCATCACATCAAAGATTTTGACATCCGTTATTACAACTAGTGGCAACAGTAACAGTAACAAAATCTTTAAGGGCAGCGTGTGATATTACATTAGAGTTATAGCATGGTTATGTAGCAGGATTGAAGTTAAGTGCAACTAAAACTGAAAAATGTAGAAGTGGTGGAAACAAATGGGGCATGTAGGTCAGTCAGCCACAGCCTTCTCAAAAGCCCCTACACCCCCCCCACCAACCACCACCCCCCCCCCACCCCTCCTCAACTTACACTGCTGCACTGTTTTTTAAAACCTCCATTGACTTCCGGCAAATGTAGAGCAGTGAATTAACAGCACAAAGACAGCGCAAAAACAAGTTACAGGTAAATACTTTCTTTTATTTTCTTCCTTTTTTATCTTTTTCTAGATGTTATTTGTTGAAGCTGATGAAAGTAGACAGAATAAACTTAAATATTGATTAATTATTCAGCAATTTTTGATCAGAAGTTCCATGTATTTGCTGAGTTTAACATGTTGGAAAAATATAAAATCTAAACATAAAATATAACATGCAATAACTTTTGCACAGACCATGTTTTGTTTTGCTTTTTTTCTCAAATGAGTTAAATTCAGCAAATAAACAGCAAAATGTGCAGACCTAAACGTCTGCATACAACTCTATACACAGCTGCCCATTTCAGCTTCAAGATCTAAAAGGAATTGTTTCAAAAAGTATTTAAAATATTTTTTTTTTAAAAAAAGGTTTTATACCTCTTAAAGTAAAAATCTAAATAGCATGTATTCTGTCTAACAGAATTGGTCTTCGAGCTGGTTTTGTTTATATTACTGTTTAATTCATACTTCTGTAAATCACACTATTGATATTGCAGTTTAAACCCAGTGCAGTGGTCACCAATCCTGCTAATGGATGTCTACCTTCTTGGACTTGGGCTGGACATAAAACATGCAGGAAGACAGATCTCCAGGAGGCCCAATCCCATTTCACCCCTTGACCCTACCACTTAGCCCTTAGCCCTCTGTTTTGCACTTTCACGTCTAGGGTTAGGGTGTCCCAATTTTTGTTGGGGTAGAGGGGGTAGGGCGAAGTGTTAGGGTTACATGGCCCTGCAAACGGAAGTTTTTCGGAAGCACACTCCAAACAGAGTGTTATGAGAAAAAAAGAAAAACCGGCAAGATGGCTGCGCGAGCGACCAAACAAACCCACAAACGTGAATATTTCCTCTGTAAAATAATTATGATAACCATTGAATTATCTTAGTTTAATGTGTTTTCAGTGTATTATGGTCGTTTTCTTCATAACAAGCATAAAAAAACGCTAATAGCATGCTAATGTCTTGGTAGCTAGCTAGCTAAATTTCCTGTTCCACCTTAAATAGTCCAGCAGTATTGACACCTGAAGTGCCAGAATGTAACTGCTGCACCATTTAAGGTGGAACGGGAAAATTTTAACAAGAAGCTGGTGAATAGCCGACTCCAGCCTCATATCACTGAAGAATTAGCTGTGGGCAATAATAAATAATTGTCTTATACCTCCTCTTTGAAAGCATGTGATGCCCTAAATGTAACTAAAACCCATCAGTGAGGTTGCTAAACTTTACCCTCCTCTGCTATCACTGAAGACGGGCTGGGTCGCCTACTGAGCACCGCTAGTAGCCTTTTAATGAAGCAATGTTTTTTTTTTCATTTTTTCCCCATTTCGTAGGGCAAGATTTCAACTGCTACTCCTTGTAACTCAGTTCCAGGTGACACTCAAAAACAAGGTTAGGGGTAAAAAGAAGAAATGGGATTGGGCCTAAGTGTCCTAATTTAGTGCCTTTTCTTTATTGGTATGGGTGAAGTTGTAAAGGTGTGAAGCATTTGGGGGAATTGTTGCTTAATCTACACTTTGATTCTTATAAATAAACAGCTCTTTGGAGCAGTGCTATAGAAGAACAACTTTTCAGTGGCATATTGTCTAAAAAATTATTTTTGCAAATGAGGTGTATGAGTGTGAAGAATCTTTTTAAAGTTTAAGGAACCTCCAAGCAAAGTGATGATTCTGTATTAAATAAAGTTTTTTCCTAGAACCCCACATCAAAGTCAAGAGTGTATGACAAAAGAAAAGGACACAGCAGAGAACTGTTTTTTTTTTTTTAACAATAAAATGGAAACACTAACCTGAGAATTCCTAGAGTAGGCTGGTATCTGCACCACGTATATATATATATATATATATATATATATATATATATATATATATATATATCAGAATCAAGCTTTATTGGCCAGATATGCTTACACATACAAGGAATTTGGTTTTGGTTACAGGAGCTCACAGTGCACAGTATCAGACAGAAATTTACATGTAGTGAATAAAATAAAATAAAATAGAATACAATACAACACAAAAAATAAAATAAAACATGCATTCCTACCATCACTCACTCATACACAAACACACACACAGTCATACCTGTAACTTTTACATTGTGCAAAGTATGGGTCTGAAGTGAAAGTGCTGAGTACAGCAGCAGTTAAAGGGTGTACAGTTGCAAAGAAAGGGATCAATCAGTTGACAGTCAGATAAGTGGGGTAATAAGGCAGGTAAGTAAGATGCTAGAATAAACATTGGTCTGTGATGGTAGTTTCAGGGGATGGAGTTGAGTTTGATACTATATATCAGTATTTTAGAAGTGCAGTTTAGATGCTGGAATATCTTAATGTGTAATATTTTAACTGTTGAAGAGAGTGAAGGCTTGTGGGTGGGACGAGTCAGTGGAGATCTTCTCTGCACGCTTCCTGGTTCATGCAGTTCCAGCAATGTATATATATATATATATATATATATATATATATATATATATGTGTGTGTGTGTGTGTGTGTGTGTGTGTGTATATATATATATATATATATATATATATATATAGTATGTTTAGTTTTATTAGGACCATAATCTTTTCCACTGTTTGATTTGCCCCACGAGCACCACTGGATCAGTAAATCTAGCAGTAAAGTGTCCTTTGTGCCCACATCTTTGTGGGGTTGTGGTTTCCTGTTCTCAAGATCAATTGTTCCATTCTATGACACACGTTATCTGCTCACACAGATTTTCCTAGAGACAGATTAACCACACTTTAAAAACAATACTCTGCAAATGTATAGTAATTACTGACAGCAGAGTTGACAAGTAGTTAAAGCCGCACTATATAATACACACACACACACACACATTTACTAAACCTTTTATCCTTCTGGGTCGTGGGGAGGTGCTGAAGCCTATCCCAGTGGTCATTGGGTGGAAGCCAGTATACACCCTGAACAGGTCGCCAGTCTATCACAGGGCAACTATGTAATATTTATTGTTAAAATTAAGTAGCATTACTGAGTATGGGACAAAAAAGAACACATTAAAATATGGTGAGCATGTGTTGCTGCCAGTTGCCTGTAAGGTCTGAAATAATCATTTAAAAGTCAGAGGCGTCAGGTCGGGTGTTTTTCACACCACGTCGGACGTCTTTATGCATTAACGTCACACTCACAGGCTCAAAAAGAAAGTCCAGCTCGATGTTCAGGTCTCAAATGCATAATTAACATCATACTTATGAAGATATGATGACCTTAGCAGATAATTCCTAAGAAGACACGTCACTGGTGTGAACTCATGAGACTGTTTACAGTTTCTTTTTGCATCTGCTGAGCTACTAAATCAGAACCTGGAAATACTGAGGAAAACTACACTAGCTAAGCTAATTATAATCAGCTCCTTTATGTAGGTTGATGGTTAGGCATTTACATTGAAGCATGGATTGAAAGTCTTTCATTGATTTGATGATCATGTAAGCAAACTGAACTGATGCAGTTGGTTTTTGGTTTTGGTTTGGTTTTAGCAAGTGGCACAATACTGACACACACATATAAACAGTCAGTAAATAGTGATTGTGTCATCCTACCAAATGGTTCTGTGGCCCTGAGCATGGGTAGTTAACCGTATCAAGGAAAGCAGGCTGTGTATGGTTTGCTTGCATTACATGTCGAACCATGTCCATGTGGTAATGTCATTAAATTGATTTAGAACTCTTCAACCCTACAGTAGAAACAGGTCTATGTCTTTTTTATTCTATTGCTTAAACCTTATATATAAACCATATTTATAATAATTTATTTATGCCAATATTCATTTCCTTTTTACTTAATTTCCATTGCAGGATTACAGCTTGTGTTAGAATGGCTACCAGTGTTGCACCTGTGGAAAACACTAGAAATGGCTTCACCATTGTGACCCATGTGATCCCACCACAAACAGCTCCAGCTGGAACAGGACAACATGAACCAGGAACTGGAGCAGGAGGCTGCACCATAGGAGAACCAAAAGTGCTTGGGGTAAGGAGAGTGAATACATAAAAAACAAATAATTTTGCTTATTGAAAAATACCAACAAGTAATGATATCTCTTTCTTTTTGCCCACAGACTGTCCAGATAATGATTGGGCTCTTAACCCTTATGTTTGGCATTGTTTCAGAAGCCTCCTTTAAAACTCTTTCTGGCTACATTGGCATCACCTTTTGGGGATCATTGAGTGTATATTCACTTAGTGCTTTTTATTTCTCAATGATGATATTGATTCATACTTGATAAGAATCAGCAAGACTCTCATTTTTAAACCACTCATTGTTTTTCTATAACAGTATATCAGCTCTGGTGCTCTGTCTGTTGCTTCAACAAACCACGCTTCTTCATGTGTGGTATGTAAATCTATTCCATATTATTTTAAAGAAACGGTTAAATCTAATTCACATAATTTTCCACTTACTCCAGATGTCATCAATCAGACATGTTTGGTGTTGGAATTTTGCTTAGGCACTGCAGCAACATTGCTGGCAAACACTAGTAATCAATAATCACCCAAATGTTTTGGTTCCACTTTATATTAAGTGTCCCTAATGACTGTGTAGTTACGTGTGAACAACATATGCAATAACCATGTAACTACTAATCATTTAGTCACTGTTTCAGATGGATTACAGAAGTACACTTTATGTAATTACATACACCCTATGTAATTGAATCAACTTCAGTTTTCCTCATGTAATTACACAAGGGTACAGACATAAATGTAATTACCTTTGTATTCAGACTGAAACAGCAGTTTTTTTCAGAGGTTTTCCAGCAGTGAAAGTAAGTATGTAGTAACTTACATTAAGATATTACTTACACTGTATCTGCCAGCTTTCCTAACATTAGCTAGCATTTAGGTTGCTGGTGCTGTGACATTGCAACCAGTTTCAACTTTAAACCAATCTGTATTGTGACAGTACAGCAGATGTCCCCTTATCTTAAAATGTAACTTTTATAACTTTTATATTACCACTCCATTATTACACAGTACCTACATAACAACTACACAGGAACTGTCCACTTATGTTAAAGTGTAACTTTAACACTACATTACAGGAAATTTCCTGCGTAGATGTTATAAATGTAAGGTGTGATTACATAATGGTATTAAATATGTGATGTGATTAGGTTACCTTGTTACAACACAGTTATTCCACAGTAATTATGTAAAACAAATGTAATGTTATGTAAAAAAGACTTCTGATCTGTTGTGTATCAAAAGGATACACCTGTGTAATTGCATGAGGAAAAATGAACTTGACACACGTGTAATTTCATAGGCTGTACTTCTGTAATCCATCTGTAACATAGGCTAAATCATCAGTAGTTACAATGTTGTTGCATATGTTATTCATGTGTAACTACACAGTTATTAGAGACAATAAAAAGCAGGGACCTATGTTTTTCCTAAATACATGCTTTCATAAATATACATGTTCTCAACCTGCTGAATTCACATCAAGCTCTTTATTAAAGTCATGCAGACTTGTATATTTGGTTTAGTACACAGTATGACTTAAAATTTCACTGTGTAGCCAAACTTTTTGAGCCAAATCCTATATCCTCTGCGGAATCCCGCTCCCTATCACTTGTATGCACGTCACACAGGCATAAAGATGCTAGATTAGATCCCTACTTTCTGTTTTTTTCTATTTTTACACATATATCTTCAGTTTAAAATATCAAGGTCAACAGTTATTTATATAAAGTAACAACACTGCATGTCTAATTTAATGCCCTCCACATAGTGGAATGGGGTTAAAATTACCCACCTGAGCAAGAACACCACAATGCACCAAAAAGAGTCCTTGGGCAAGACAACTAACACTGTGTTCTGCTACACATACAAGATACAACATAATGATACAATTGCAAGTTGCTCTGGAAAAGAACTGCAGTGAGTGGAAGTACAAGGCAGATGTTTCTAATAAAGTGAATAGTTAGTAGATAACAAGGTAGGTGTTTCTAATAAAGTGGCCAGTTATGTAGAGAACAAGGTAGGTGTTTCTAATAAAGTGGCCAGTGAGTGTGTATTATCTAATTTAAATTAAATTTAATATCAATTGTTAAGTTTATAGATAAGCTGCAACTCTGTAAACTTTGCTGCATGTTAGGCTTCTGTTTCCTGTTTTTTTTTTATCTTGTGTAGGTGAGAAGCTCCCTGATAATGAACATCATCAGCACTGTGGCTGCAGGAATAGCCATCATTCTTTCTATCTCTTGATGTGTTTGATCCTTTAGATTACCAGAGTTCTTGTCTGGTAAAACATTCTGGAGATTTTTTATGTTTATGTGACTACTAAATTATATGTATACTGTTTTGGCATAGAGACTGCCAGTCACATTAGTGATTTTGATGAGTGGGTTTGTAAATCATTGCATTTCACACTGTGACCCCTGAAAGGAATAGATCAGCTTTCATGCTTCATTGAGGAGTATTCCTATAATAAAAGGCTATAAGTGCTATTACTGTGACATGGAAGCATCTAGGAACAGTGCTCAGCCACACAAGCGGTAGACCATGCAAACTCACAAAGAGGGACCACCAAGTCCTGAATTGCGTAGTGCATAAAAAAAGTTGTTACTTTGACAAGTTTAATATAATAGTTTGTTTCAACCACATCTGACTAGTTGAGAAACAGTAATGGGAGCAAAGTAACCAGCATAATCACTATTTTGGCAGTCAATTAAAGAAATAGATATTGAAACAATGTTTTTGTTCTTTTATTTAACTTTTTTTTTACTTTTTACTATGCAAAACTATGTAGAACACTAGAGATGATTTGTTATAGTGAATAAAGATACGTCTGTTGGGTTTCTTTGTGTGTTGTATTGCAGACAGGTACAATAATGTATGTCAATAGCATCACAGATCCAGGGAGCTGATACCACTGCTATGAGAAAACTGTTGCCTGCCAGCTGATGCAGCTGGTTCTGATGCCTTTATTGAATATTTTAAATCTTTTCTGCAAATATTATGCAAATGTCTTTTTTAGGGCGCCACACGTGGAATTAGTGGAGTGCTGCTGGTTTTCTCTGTTCTTGAGCTCTTCATCTGCATCTGCACCTCTGGGTTCACCTGCAAAGCCACCTGCTGCACAGATCTTATGGTCAGTGATATGGTGCCTCTTTATTTTTTAAATCAATGCACTGTGAATGTTGTTTCCTTGTTCTATGTGTGCTTTCAAATGTTCCTTTTAGTCTCCTTATATGAGCTAACAGTAAAATTATAAAAGTGCGTCATGTGATCATTTGAGAACTGCATGCTTATGAAATGTTCCCTCTGTTACAGACAGTGTTTCTCGTCAACAATCCTGGCTACGTCCAACTAGTTGAAGAAAATGCTTGACTTGCCCTCAACATATGCTTTGTAAGATTGTGTGCCATGCAGCCAAAATTTGCTTGTTGCTGGTCACATGTAGAGTTACACTAGAGTTCAGAAGATTGAACACATTTGTCGTGTGAATTTTTCTAGCCTTTTTACATATAATAATGTACCAAAATACCATGTTTTTTTTTAACAATTCAAAAATTCAGAAATTCTACTGATTATCTGAATGCTGTTGTACAGGAACCAGTTAATTGGCCAACAAATAAATTTTATATTATTGAAAAAATTGATTCCAAACTTATGATATTGTATTTGCTTCAAGATTACTTAGCATATATTTTGGAGGGTTGATGTTTACACCCATTTCACAATGCTTGCTGATCTTTCCACTGCGTGAACCTTCCATGACAAATGCGTGAATAGAAACGGACAAGCATAACTTTAAATAAAATATTGCTACATTAATGTGCTCTAAGGTTAAGAGTTTTTGGCAATGTTTTACTATGTGCACATGAAGGCTTCCTGGGGTATTCATAAACAGTACAGTAACACTCTACTACAATTTTGAAACTTTCCTTAAATACATTAATTAATTAGTAATGAAGATGTAATTAGTGTAATCACTTATATTAATTTATTTTAAATCTCATGTACTTTATAAGAATGTGAAATGTCATTCATTTGCACCCTGTTTCAATCATCAATGCTTTTTGAATGTAAATGCAGGATCAATAATAAATCCTTTGAAATGAAATGTGCTCAGAATCGTATTTGTTTTCTGGCAAAAGGGATGTGTATTATAAGTTATTAATGATGAGATCATGAAATTTGCACTAAACATTACAGACACATAACAGAGTTCTCATCGCTCTACTTTATGATCTCATTACTCACTGTGGTATGTATTTACTACATGTATCAAATTTGATTATATATGTGTAATGACTTGTATGCAAACCTACAATGTGATATCATAATCAAGCTGTTTTTGGCCCATGATCACAACCACATTTTTTTTTAAATTGGGCAAGTATGTAAAAGGAATTTCAGTAAAAAAGCAGAAAATTACAATCTAGAACTCTAGCATAAAGCATTTATTCAACTTATAACAGAAGGTAGAAATAAGAAATATTCAATTAATCCTGTAGTAAAATAATTTGTATTAAAAAATGGTCACAGAAGGTGCTGTCAGTAGTTGTCATGATGGATTTTGATCAGTAATATAACTATATATAGTTATATAAGTGTCATGTTACTACAGTTAATTGTCATGATGTTTGATGCCAAGCTTATGCCACATGCTAGATCTTTCAATAAAATGCACTCTGGCTACCGAACATGACCCCAAAGTTGTCATTTCAAACATCTGTCATTAGAAGTAATGGTAATAGTAAGTTAACACTGCTATATTAATGAACAAATCTGTCATGGCAGAGTTTGATATTGCTTTACGTGGATAGCATGGTTATGTCAATGTTTATGTAGCACGGTTAAAGTTAAGTGTTACTAAAAATGTAGGAGAGGTGGCAAGAACTAGGGCATTTAGGTCAGTCAGCCACAACACCCCCGACCCCATTTAAACTGCTTTTCAAATCTTCCAGTGACTTTCTGCAAATGTAGAGCATCAAATTCAAAATGGGCATATATTTTTCAAAAAACATTAAAATTTCTCAGTTTCAACTTCTGATATGTTGTCTTTGAACTATTTTCAATTAAATATAGGCTTTAAATGATTTTTACATCATTGCATTTTGTTTTTATTTATATTTTGCACAGTGTCCCAACTTTTTTTGGAAATAGGATTGGATTATTGAAAAATTCATTCCAAACTTTTGAATGATATTGTATTTGTTGCTTGAAGATTACTTAGCATATATTTTGGAGGGTTGATTTTGACACCATTTCACAATGCTTGCTAATCTTTCCACTGTGCGAACGTTCCATGACAAATGGGCCAATAGAAATGGATCAACACAACTTTAAATAAAATATTGTTACATTAATGTGCTTTAAGGTTAAGAGTTTTTGGTTTTACTATTCAAAACATGCACTCTAGTTAGTGATCATGACCCCAAATTTTTACAACATCTGTCATTACAAGTAATGATAATGGTAAGTTAACACTGTTATATTACTGAACAAAATCTGTCATGGCAGCGTTTGATATTGCTTTACGTGGATAGCATGGTTATGTCAACAATGTCAATGTTATGCAGCATGGTTAAAGTTAAGTGAGGAGAGATGGCAAGAACTGGGGCATTTAGGTCAGTCAGCCACAACACCCCCACACCCCACCCCATTTAAACTGCTTTTCAAATCTTCCAGTGACTTCCTTCAAATGTAGAGCAAGCATAAAGAGAGAGCAAGAACAGCTTACAGGTAAATATTTCTTTTCATTTTCTCTATTTTGTTATTTTGATGAAGCTGATAAAATTGAACACAACGTATACAGAGAACAAATTCAAATATACACACATTTTTCTGCAAATTTTAGTGAAATTGTTGTATTGTTTCTGCAAATTTTTTACATATTGGAAAACTGTGTCTGATCCACTCAGACCAGCACAACACACACTAACACACCACCAAACCACCCAAATAGCACCTACTCTTTGAGGGTCCATGGGGGTCCTGACCACTGAAGAACAGGGTAAAAGGGGGCTAACAAAGTATGCAGAGAAACAGATGGACTACAGTCTGTAATTGTAAAAGTGCTCCTACATAGTAAGGGGAGCTGATAAAATGGACAATGAGTGTAGAAACTGGCCATAATGTTATGCCTGATCGGTGTATGTGCACACATATTAGCTGTACTGTGCATCTCTCTTGTAAGGGCACTTTATTATCCTAATTTAGTTTTTAATTTCATTCTAATTTAATGATTAATTTCTTCTCTTTTTAAAATCTATTGTTTTCATCATGTTTTAATCCTGTTTTTATTTCTTCCATTGTTTTACATTTTAAATTATCTTTGTATTTTATGATTTATAAAGCTCTTTGAATGACCACAGTGTGTGAAAGGAGATACCTGCCTTGCCTTGCCTACATGCCCACATCTCTGTGTGAGGTTGTGGTTTCCTGTTCTCCATTCTCAAACATCAATTGTTCCATTGTATGACTCACATGTTATCTGCTCACATCACACAGATTTTCCCAGAAACAGATTAACCACACATCAAAACCTTACTAGCAGCAATGTTGGTTAAATATTTACAGCACTGATTCAGTAATGTTTGTTTAGAGTAATGACCATTGTGCTGTAATTTTACATTTTTACATGACTACATATTTTGACAGTGGTATATTACTGTAATCAACAATGTTCTCTTTTCTGAATAATGTATACCCAATATAATGTTTACCCAAATATTAGGGAATGAAAGAGTTAACGCTTAGAAGCCTAGAATTATTTTTTCTTGATATTTTGGGTCAATTACATTTATAATTGCAAATATATAGTACATACCATAAGTTATTATTTTCAGGAGGCCTTGGGCTACTCAGATATGCCATTATTTGACATGTAAATGCTAACAGAAATTTGATATCTTGATGAATTTGGCTAATGTTTTATATAATATATTATATATAATATATATATAATAATTTATATAGTGCCTGCAAATTTTCTTTTTTTTTTTTTTTATTGAGATCATGAAAACGAGGGGCACCTCAGATGCCTTTTCAGAAATTGTTGTCTTCTAATGGTTCATTCTACTGGTTATTATGAGTAAAAATAAACAGTTAGCATAAGGTGGCCATGTTTTTATTGATTTTCTGTCCTCATGGAGTGCTAAAACTTTGATGCACAGCAAGACAGGCTTTGCATTTAATTACAAATTGAGTTGTATATTTAATATCAGATGTTTTTAGTACTCATAATCAATGTAAACTGAAAGACAGAGCTAAATATTATTCATTTTATAATAAAATGTGTAATAGTTATTGTTATCTATTAAATTGTGTTAGTTTGTGTGGTTTTGAGGGAAAGAGGGACAGTGAAGTGGTGTAGTGGATTGGGACAATGCCATTTGTCATCTTTTTTGGGTGTGCCCTCCCCCACTCTTTCAGCTCAGAAGCATGCACATGCCCCATGGCTAGTGGTTAGCCTCAGTTTTATAAGTGTGACTGCATTTTGAGTTGTTTTTTAAGTGTATTTAGCTGTATATTTTTTAATCCTTTATTTATAATATAAAGGCTAAAAGCAAAGAGGGGACTGGGTTGTGGGTGATTTTGGAGCTGGACTGCTGCTGATGGATGGTCATAGGTGGATGAAATCACTCTGGATGGTGAGGGCAGAGTCTGATGAGTGATTTGGTGTGTGACTCATGTTGCTGTGCTTTTCTAACTCTTTGTTGGAATATGAAGGCCGAAAAACAGAGCAATAATATCAGGATTTTGGATGATTTTCCAAAACAAATTACTCACTGATGGTGACGTCACAGCTTGAAGACGATACCTGCATGTTTCAAGTTCTAAGGGTTAAAATAGCAGTTTTTAAATTGTTTTTAAATTGTATCTTAAATACTTTTTAAAGAGTAAAGTCCAAACAGAGGAATTTCAGTTTTTTTCATAATTATCATCATTTCAACAGCTAATCAATACTCACAATTAGACTTTAAGTTGAAGTATTTACTGACACTTCAACTTAAGTAGTAATACTTTCTATTAGATTCACTGAATACTGCAATAAACAAAGTGAAAATATGTTACATGCAAGTCCAACAAACAGTATTTAAGCTTGATCTGTACAGTATTAAACTCAATGTAAGAAGACAGAATCTACACCACCGTTAGCTTAGCGGTAACATGACACCGTAGATCCTATAAAGACTGAATCTCTTTCTCCCTCTCCCTCTCTCTGTCTCTCTGTCTCTCTCTCTCTCTCTCTCTCTCTCTCTCTCTCTCTCTCTCTCTCTCTCTCTCTCTCTCTCTCTCTCTCTCTTAGTTAAAAACTTGTGCCTATTTTTCTGCTGGAAACTTTGAAAAAATTCAGTAAGTATTACAAGAATTCTTTGTTTAAATCCTTTTTTGATTGTTCAAAATATTTTTTCACTGCCTTCACATTGTATGCAGTACCTTGTGTTCAGGATGGCCGCCAGTGTTGTATCTGTTGAGCATGCAAGAAATGGCTTCACCATTGTGACCCATGTGGTACCAGGAGGAACAGAGCAATATGGCCCTGGGACTGGAGCCGGAGTCTACACTGGAGGCCCACTTAAAAAACTTCTGAATAGAGAGCCGAAGGCACTGGGGGTAAGACAGTTCTGGCCTAGTTTTCTTTAATATTTACACTGGGCATGTTTACACTTTGCTCTGATTGTCTCTTGTTCTCCACAGACTGTCCAGATAATGATCGGGATCATGACGCTCTTGTTTGGAATTGTGTCAGTCATTTACTTTGAATCAGTGTCCGTCTTCAGTGGTGTCACCTTTTGGGGATCATGTAGTGTAGGTTCACTTTATGTTGTGTTCATTTCCTCTTGATTTTAAATGGTGATCGTCATTCATAATTGATAAAACAAAGCTTCTTGTTTTGTTTCCATTTTTTATACCAGTATATCGCCTCTGGTGCTCTGTGTATAGTTTCAATCAACCAAACTCATCCCTGTGTGGTAAGTAAACACGAGTTGTGCTGCATTTCCAATAATACTTTATATAAATTAACATGTTTGGAAAGGCAGTGTAATTTGGGTCAATGCTGTCACAAACTCAGTGACCACTTCATAAGAACTCCCTTTTACTGAATCTCCAAACTTTGATGCACATTTTGTTTGGGCCTGCCTCTAGCACTTAATGTATGGTCAGTTTCTGAGCACAGAGCTGCTCTTGTCTGGATATTTTTGAGTGGTGGTCCACTCTTGACCCAGCAGTAATACTGATGTGTGTAACAACCCCAGCAACACTGCTGTGTCTGATACAGTCGTAGAGAAACAGATGGACTACAGTCTGTAATTGTAGAACTACAAAGTGCTCCTATATGGTCAGTGGAGCTGATAAAATGGATAATGAGTGTAGAAACAAAGAGGTGGTTTTAATGAAGTGGTCAGTCAGTGTACACTGTAAAACTGAAAGGACACATAAGGCACCTTTTGGGGTTCCTCAGCTTGCCACACTGGCGGAACACTTTAGGGAGCCTCCAGGAACCTTTTTAAAAAGGCCAGTTTTCTGAGGAACCTACAGTGATTTACAAAGTTCAGCTTTATCCAGCATGGCCTGTAAACTCTTTGCATTTTTAAATGCTACGTTCTTCAAGGAACTTTAATTTATTTTGATGTTTGAGATCTACTACAGACCAGCATCAGCAAACCTTTTGGTTACTCAAGCAACCTGCTGGAATACAAGAGGATTTTTAGGAACTCCAAAAAATCTAGCTTTCTCAAAATAGGCCCTTTTAGGATTATAAGTTCTACTAAGAACCCCAAAAGGTGCTTGAGGGCTCACTCAAAAGAAGACAGTTCCTGTCCAGAAGCACAAGGTAGGTGTTTCTAATAAAGTAGCCAGTGAGTGGAAGTACAAGGTAGGTGTTTCTAATAAAGTGGCCAGTGAGTGGAAGTACAAGGTAGGTGTTTCTAATAAAGTGGCCAGTTAGTGGAAGTACAAGGTAGGTGTTTCTAAAAAAGTGGCCAGTGAGTAGAAACACAAGGTAGGTGTTTCTAATAAAGTGGCCAATGAAAGTAAAATTTAATGGCCAAGTGGTTAGCTGGTGTGTTGCTATCCTGTAAACGTTGTGATGTGCTTTTGTGTTTCTCTCCTTATGTAGGTGAAAGGCTCCCTGGTGATGAATGTGTTCAGTGCTGTATCTGCAGGAGTAGCCATGATTCTGCTGTCTTTTGACTTATCTGGTCCTCTGGATTTCCCCAGATGTTACAATGATAATCCATATCGAGAAGGGAATCTGTGTGCCGTTTCCGCCATGTTTTTGGTTAGTATTTCTTTAATAAACATACACTAGAGCTGTCTACTTTGAGATGGAGGGACCTTTTAACTGACACGGATAATGTCTAACCACAGACATTTGATTCTGTTTTAAAATGTATGATAAACTGTCATGTATACTATAGAATTTAAACACTGACAAGCCAAAACCCATCAACAAAAGCCATAAGTATTTTGGCATTGATCCATTTTTTTTTGGACGGGAGTAAACAGAAATGTTTTTCAGGGCGTGTCGCGTGGAGTCAGTGGAGTGCTGCTGGTGTTCTCTGTGCTTGAGTTCTTCATCTCCATCTGCACTTCTGCATTCATCTGCAAGGCCAGCTGCTGCACTGATATTATGGTCTGTGATAGAATGTCTTCATATTTTTTTATGTCTATGATCTCATTTATCAAAACCTTTATCAGAAGGATGAGACATTAGAGCAGTTAAACACTGTTTGTAGGAAGGCATATTGGGCTTCATTAAGGTCTAGCTCTTTGTTCAGTAAAGGCCAGATTAAACAGTTCTAACTGTTTTCTTATCAGTCATCTTTAATTTTTAATAATTATAAACTGATTTATAATATAATTTAAGGTCTGTTATGTGCTCAAGTTTGTATCCTGACTAGTTATATTATTAGCTTTAAAGATACACAATAAACACCTTGTTGTGCAAATTATTGAGTATGAATTCTACCTATATGCACATCATATTAGTGTATAATTGGGGGCATTTAGATTTTTGCACAATAGCCAATACATGACCATAATTTTATACAGTTCTCCAGCAAGCTGAACCATAATTTGGTTTTAGTTAGAGCCCACCAAATCCGCCTGCTGATGACTAAATCTATTTGTATCTCCCTAAGTAATGTAATTAACTGAGAACTAAGTAATCTATTCTGAGATTAACTGAAAAAGAAAGGTTAGGCTGCTACACCTACATGCCGTGCTTTCTCCTCAGCTTTTAAGGGTAACACAAAATGTTCATGAATAGATAGGTCACCTTATTGTCAGACCTTCCACTAGGGGACGCCCCAAGACCTCTGCCACAATTCAAACTTGTAAAGTGCATTAGTTAATCAGAAACTACAATTGTGCTGGCAAACATGTAAGTTATCTCATTAACTAGATTTGAAGCGCTTTATCAAAAATTCAATGAAAACTTTTTAACCCTGCTTTTATCCTTGGGGTCAATTTGACACCAGCAATTTAAACCTGCAGGAAATGTCAACTATCTGTGGTTCTCACTCTACTTACAGGTGTGGTTATGTTAGGTTAGCATCCTAAAGCAGAGGGACGTTTTTGAAGATTATAAAATTGCATGTTATAGTGACCTCAGTATCATCCAAAACAACCAAAACAAACATGTGTAAAATGTATATATTTTTATGTTTTATAGAGTTAAAACAACATAATCTGACCCCAAAGAACACTGATGATACAAAATGTGTACAGGATGTTGAAAACATATCATTATGTATGTATAGGAAGCAAACATGATGTCAACAATTTGTTTTGAGATGTTAACCACTGACCCCAAACATAAACAGTGGGATGAAGACAGAATGCCATGAACTTCACAAACTTCTTTCAATCCAGTTAATATAAAATCTAAATCTAAAAGTTTAACATTTTTTGTTTTTTTTGACTCTAGAAATTTTTACACGCACATATGTGGATAGCCAATAATTAGGTGTGTAAAATCAGTGTTTAACTGTTCACATTCACAATTCATGTTTAACTATGAATATTTGGAAAGGCTACAGAGAACTGATCTGGTATTAAATATCAGGAATCTAATCTTGTGACATGATGGAGAGTTTTAGATAAAAACATTCAGCTGGCTTCACTATGTCCCTCCTCTCCTCCACTTGTGTGAATTTGCATTGTTTTCCATATGATTTATTTTTATTCGTTGTTTTCTTTAGTGTGATTTGTGAGCATTCATACATTTTTGTTTCCCATTCATTCATCATGGTTATTAAATATAAAAATCTTAAATATAAAGATGACTAATTGAACCAAAAAAATTGTGTTTTGGAATGATGTCACAGTAGAACCAAAAAAAAAATATTCAGTGGATAGTTCTTTTAAGAACCATGGGCCTCATTCACCAATGTTATATACAATTTTGTTTTAAATGTGTTCTTGAGAAAGGTCCTAAGAAAAAGTCTATATCAGATTAATGACGTGTTCTGTAACCACAGACCTGTTCTCACCGTTGTGCACTTGAATGTGCATAGATTGTGTTCTTACCTAAGAACAAATCCCAAATAAGAAAGCACTGGTGAATATCAGAATCTTCGTAAAAACTGTGCATGTAGGTTTTAAGAAGAAATTTTCTTCTTAAGAACGGTTGGTCAGTGAGGCCCCATGATTGTAAATGAGATGTTTTAGAGTTAAGAGCCTTCTTTTAAAGAATTTCCACATAATGGAAAACGTCAGCACAGATTCTTACTGTTTTCAAGTACCATATCAATCGAATCATTTCTGTACAGGAGCTGTATTTCGAGTTACCTTTCTTAAGAGTGTAGAATGTTACAATTAAAGAAGACTCTATTCTCATGACATTTTCTTTCCATTACAGGTGCTGTCTCTCATCAACAATCTTGAACTGAACTATCCAGAAGGAGAAAATGCTTGACTCTCATTGAATCCTTTCCTCTGAATGCTTTTTTGATGCTGAGTGTCGTGCGTTGGGTGGGAAAAAGCTGTAGAACATCTGCTCTGCATTGTTTTGTTACTGTGTGATCCATCAGACTCTGTATGTTCATCTGAATCTCTATAGTATGTCATGAAATCCTGACAGAAAGTGCTTAATAAATTCACATTTGTATATGTAACAAGAAAACCTGATTGGCTTATAAATTGTTACTTTAAATGCATAAATTACATGTGTCTCTAGGGGTATTAGCTGGTCATGTAAAAATCCAGTGCTCAGCCCTGCTTTCTGTAGGTATGTTTTGGGGCTATTTTTAAAATCTGTAAAATGTGCAGTTTTTATTATTATTATTATTATATTATTATTATTTTATTTAATGTGAGGATTTACAAATCCACAAAACCTGCAGGAATTCAGTATTTATTGTATTTTGTATCTGAAAAACAAAATTATACAAAATTGCCATTCTTGGAGTCTTCTCAAGCATTCTTTAGTAAAGGCAATGGTTCTATTTAGAACCATTGTCTTTACTAAATTTACATATAGAAATATTTGCATGCTCAAATTTGTGAGCATTTATACATTTTTGTTTCCCGTTCATTCATCATGGTTATATATTTGTCCAAAAGGTACATAAAATGGTTCTTCAGATTGATGGAGAATGTATATGGTTCTATATAGAACCTTTTGATATATATATATATATATATATATATATATATATATATATATATATATATATATATATAAAATAAAATATAATATCAAAATAAAATATATTGCTACAACAAATTGTTATGCTGAGTAATAAGCTCAATTGGTCTAACAAAATGTCAGGTTTTGGACCTGGTAATAGTCAGTTTTCCAGCAAAGACAGGGCCTGTTTTCTAATGAGTGATTTTTTATGTAGTAGTTTTGCCTCATTTACAGAAATTTTATGCACCTACACATTTTTTATTTGTGTGCTCTCACTCTCTCTTTTTGTCTCTCTCTCTCTCACTCTCTCACTGGGGTGAACCTTGGGACATGTTAAAGCTGAGGCTAAGTGACACTCCTAGCCCATACCCTTTACTTTTATTGTATTTTTCAAGTATTTTATTATAAAACATACCAGCCCTATTTATTTGCATATTGTTTGGTCACCACATGCATTGCTGATTGGCCCCCTCAAAAAGTTTCAGAGGGATTGGATTATGGAAAACTGTGTTCCTAAAATCAATGAATTAATAACAAAAACAAATGATTCATGATGAATTGACCGAGTCACATCTCACCCACAAATGTGCTCTTATTGCACATACTGCAAGGTGGGACGAGTCATAATGGGATAAAAATCTCAGTCTGCATGAGGCTAATCAGACCAGAGGGGGCTAGGCTAAATATCAGATATCATAATACAAAGCAAACTAGTCAAGGGCCAAACAGTCCATCAAAGAATCAAGGAATCAGAAGTGATCTGAAGGACATGGCCCCTTTTGTTCTTTCCCACTAGATGATGTAGCACTCAAAAGTGTGTGTCACCACTGTGGTCAGACTCATAACCAACATTGATAAGTCTGCCTACAGAAAAATATTTGAGCAGCTGGTTTCCTGGTGCAGTAGCAACCACCTGTTGCTGAACATGCAAGTGACTATGGAGATGGTGGTGGACATCAGGCACAAACCTTCTTCAACATCAGAGACTCTGTGGCTACCATTGTGGAGTGACTCATGTCTCTGGGCACCAATGTATCCAGAGACCTGAAGTGGGAGAGAAATGTGACCTCCATAGCCAAGAGAGCACAGCAGAGAAGGTTCTTCCTGAGGAAGCTGCTTTTATTATTTGATATGATCTTACACATTATCAATCCCTTTTTCCTGTATCAACTCGGCAACATTGTAAATAAGGGGAACCCCTTAATGTTCTTTGAGGTTAAATAAAGGTTGATTCATTGATTGATATCTGTGAGTGACAAAAGTATGTGAACTTTTATTATTAGCAGATAATTTGAGGGTAAAATTAGAGTCAGGTGTTTGTCAATCAATGGGGATGGCAATCAGATGTGAGTGACCACCCTTTAATTTAAAGAAAAGGCATCTATCACAGTTGGATTCTCACAACCTGTTCGTGGAAGTGTATCATGGCATGAACAAAGATTTCTTAGGACCTCAAAAGAAAAGTTGTTGATGCTCATTAGGCTGAAAAAGGTTAGAAAAAACATTTCTAAAGAGTCTGGACTCCACCAGTTCACAGTCAGACAGATTGTGTACAAATTGAGGTAATTCAAGAACATGTGATGCTCCCCAGGAGTGGTCAAAGAACAAAGATCACACCAAGAGGTGTGTAATAGTCCCTAAGGTCATAAAGGATCCCAGGGTAACTTCCAAGCAACTAAAGGCCTGCCTCACAGTGGCTAATGTTAATGTTAAAGAACTCTGAACAACAATGATGTGCATGGCAGGGTTGCAAGGAGAAAGCCACTACTTTCCAAAAAGATCATTGCTGCCCGTCTGCAGTTTGCTAAAGATCACATGAACAAGCCAGAAGGCTATTGGAACAATGTATTATGGACGGGAGAGACCAAAATAGATCTTTTTGCATTAAATCAAGAGCATTATGTTTGGAGAAACAGTGCAGTCCAACATAAAATCCTTATCCCATCTGTGAAACATGGTGGTGGTAGTATCATGGTTCAGGTCTGTTTTGCTGCATCTGG